GCCACCCACCCATCCGACCCCACCCACGTCCTGCCCCCGACTGCCCCCTTCAGAACCCGCAACCTATCAACCCCCCCCTCGTCCCCTGACCACCCCCTCCCAAGAACCCCCACCCTAACTGCCCCCCAGGACCCCACCCCCTACACAACTCGCTCCATTCCCTGTCCCCTGACTGCACCAACCCCATCCACCACCACCCTGACAGACCTCCGGGACTCCCACACCTACCCAACCCACCGTTTCCTGTCCCCTGACCGCCCCTCCATAACCTCCGCCCCCTCCAACCGTTCTCTACCCCTTATCCAACCCCTCCTCCCAGCCCTGGCTGGCCCCCTTACCGTGCTGCTGTGTAAGGATGCCGCGCAGCCGCTGCAGCCCCACCCCCTTACCCAGAGGTGAAAATAAGCTGGTATGCCCCCGTACGGCGTACCGGCAAGAGCCAGTGCACCGTACGGGGTGGCCTGGCTTCCCCAGGGGGCAATTTAAAGGGTCTGGGGCTCCCAGCAAGGGCTGGAGCCCCAGGCCCTTTAAATTGCCACCAGAGCCCCACTGCTGGAGCCCTGGGGTAGCGGCAGCGGGGCTCTGGGGGCTATTTACAAAGTCTGGGGCTCCTGCATCTTCTACCACCCCAGCCCTTTAAATAGCTGCTGGAGCCCTGCCGCCACTACTCCAGGGCTCCGGTGGCTATTTAAAGGGCCGGGGCGGTAGAAGCAGGGGAGCCCCAGCCCTTTAAATAGCCCCCAGAGCCCTGAGGTAGCGGGGGCTGCAGGGGCTATTTAAAGGGCCGGAGCTCCAGCTGCCTTTGCCGCCCCGGTCCTTTAAATAGCTGCGGGAGCCCCGCTGCTTCCCCAGGGCTCCCGCGGCTATTTAAAGGACCGGGGCGGTAGAATCAGGGGAGCCCCGGGCCCTTTAAATAGCCCCCAGAGCCTGGGGTAGCGGGGCTCTCCAGGGGCTATTTAAAGGGCTCCAGCTGCCTCTGCCGCCCCGGTCCTTTAAATAGCCGCTGGAGCCCCACCGCTTCCCCCAGGGCTCCGGCGGCTCTGTGAGAGGGAGGGGGTGAAGCGGGGGAGGGGCCGGGGGAGCCTTGGCCTCCCCCGCTGGGAGCTCAGGCGGTCTGGATGTGGCCTGCAGACTGGAGTTCGCCCACCCACCGGCCTCTTTAGGAACCGGTTCTACACCGGCTTCTAAATTTAGCAACCAGTTCTTGCGAACCGGTGCGAACCAGCTCCAGCTCACCACTGGATATATGAATCTTTAGCTCATCTGGCATGTAAATATCTTGCAACACCAGGTACAACAGTGCCATACAAACGCCTGTTCTCACTTTCAGGTGACATTGTAAACAAGAAGCAGGCAGCATTATCTTCTGCAAATGTAAACAAATTTGTTTGAGCGATTGGCTGAACAAGAAGTAGGATTGAGTGGACTTGTAGGCTCTAAAGTTTTACATTGTTTTATTTTTGAATGCAGGGGGTTTTTTGTACATAATTCTACATTTGTAAGTTCAACTTTCATGATAAAGAGATTGCACTACAGTACTTGTATTAAGTGAACTGACAAATACTATTTCTTTTGTTTTTTACAGTGCAAATATTCGTAATAAAAATAAATATAAAGTGAGCACTGTACACTTTGTATTCTATGTTGTAATAGAAATCAATATATTTGAAAATGTAGAAAACATCCCAAAATATTTAAATAAATGGTATTCTATGATTGTTTAAAAAAATTTTAATCGCTTGACAGCCCTACTTTATACCTTTAATCTGGAATCAATCTCCTTATATATCCCCCTCCCCAGGATCATACTCATCATACACAGCACCTCCCACACTCACCTCTGTCCATTTTCCATCTGGACTCATTAGCTCCCCCTGCAGCTGCTCAAGGATAAAAGCAGGTCAAAGAACGAAAAACAATGCACAATTATTGATTTTTTTTTAAACAAAATCTCTTTGGCTATGTCTGTGTCCCTTTTTGCATTTGCATTTCATAAATATTCTAGCAAATGAGCTCACTGGCCAGCAGGTTTTCAGAAACAGAATTCAAGCAAATACTCGAGAATATCTATGAAAAGCAAATTTTTCATTCTTTCTGCAAGCACCAGAAACTTAATTTTAAGCATTCCACTCAGCCAGTCAGGGACCAGAAACACACCACATAACTTAGGTGCTCAGATGCACATAGCTTGAGTTTTTAGTATCAGATACTCACAACAAACTGCTAATAAATGAGTTACAGACCAAGAGCCTGGCGATCCTGTATTTTCAGAGCTTTGTGCTCCTCAGGTACTGGGGGATTCCCTCAGTGTAGGGGAATCTTCATTTGATGTAAGAACAGCTGTAGTGTCTCCTATACCAGACCTCAATTACCCTCTTAGGTCAGCTTTCTCACTGCTTTGTTCTGCAAGCAGTGCAAAGGGACCAGCGCCTGGGCCAGGATTTAGCCCAGAGTCTTACATCTCTGGGTTGCTGGTCCTAAGCCATCTCAGGTGAGTAGTGACTGAAAATTGCTACCATATTATGGCACTTTGGTAGCCTATGTGATGCGAGTTAGTGGTCTCAGTCCAGTGACTAGAGGACAGACGTCCACATGACAGAAACCATCCACCACAAGTAGCACTGAGGTTGGCAGGGAGACCAAGGATATAATAGGCTGTGGAGACTGAACTACCCTCTCGACTATAAAATCAGTCCCTTCAGGACATGGACAAGGTTGATGTTCTTTGGCAGTGGTCAGAGTTCATTGTGCTACTGATTCTGCTGTGCATAAAGAGACTTCAATCCCCAGGACTCAAACTGCAAGAAACTGTGCTTCCGTTGTAACACGTTAGAACCCCTCTGCCTCTGCTCAGACTGTCACATGGACAAAAGGCAGCACGTCAGGCCTGTGAAAGGAGATAATTTCAAAGGCAAGACTTTTTGGATGCTCCAGCCAGTAGATATGAATTGTTAATTTCATCAAGAGGTTGAGTTCAAAGTGAAGAGCCTGACATAAATTCCACCTGAAGTCACAACTCTGTTTACTGCAGCAAAAGTTATTTTAACGCACCTTGATTGAGATTCCACACAGTGCAAAAGGGCAGTTACTCTTTTGAGGCAATATCGTACAGGAAGAAACACACCGCACATGCAGAATTTCCCAGTCATTTTTCATTGGTGAGAGGATCATGATTGTTCTTTTGTCTGTAAACCACATGTACTTAATCAAAATTTGTAAGTTGAGGTGGTGTGAAATCTTGCCACTGTAAATTAGCTATTAAAAACCAAGAACAAGACCTATGAATAGCCAGGCACATGAAGACGCAGCTTGAGAGACAGAGAGAGATGAGAAAAAGGGACTGATAGATAAACCAAATGTGTAGTAATTATGGACATGCAGCACAGACATACTTAAATGGAAAGTGACCACGTTGTGTGGTGTATTGCTGAATCACATTGCATCATATTTTCCTGTTGGAACTCCATCCCCATCATTTTTACAAGCTCTCCCCTCCCAACATCAGATCCTTGTGGTCTGCACAAAGGCTTAGCCTGAGGTTTTGCAAAGGCTACCAGTTTAATCTAATGAGGGAGGTATTTATTCAGACTGACATCAGCACGGGGATGAAGTTCCTACACAGTGTAACCATTGAAAATGATTTGGGTTTCCCCCCTTTCTCCCCCCCATAAAAGCACTTTAAAGTGGAGTTTCACTATAAAAGGAAAGGCATATACAGCAAAAGATCCACCCCCTTTACTCCAAGAGTGGTGGCAAGAGTTCTCATCAGCCCTGCAGTGGTGGAGGGTTGCCAGCAGCCTCAGTAATGATGGACTCTGAAAGTAGTATCTTCACTCACATTGGGAAGTAGCTATAGCAAGTCTAACCCAGCTGTTCTTTGCTCCCTGTGTATAGAAGCAGCTGCAACAAGATCAGGAACTAGGGATTCCTCTCCCTTCCCCAGCACAGTGCCGACTTTCCTCCACTTTGGCCTTGTCTATATTGGAATTTGCCCCAATTCCAGATGCACAACCTTGTGTGCATCTTTATGTTCTCTACAAAGAGCCAAGGAACATCAGGCCATCCGTGTCTAAAAGCTTGTGTATGGTGTACATGGCAATACTGCTGCCCATGGGTGTGGGGAAGTCTCAGCATATGGAGGAGGTAAAGCAGGAGTGACCCCATAATGATGCAGTGGAGGTCTGAGCAGAGCATGGGGGAGCCTGGCATGCTATATAGCTAGCTAGATTAGCCAGAGGAGCCCAGCTGCTCACATAGGTCTAATGGTTAATTTTTCACAGACACCTCCGGGCCTCATCTCTTTAGTTGAGCCCATTGTGTGGGGCGTCACCGACGGGGCAGGGCCTGTTTCCCCCTTTGTTCATAACAGCACAGAGCATGGTGGCAGAGACTGACACACTCGAAGGGTGCCACTTGGGGCTGTGAACTCCAGGCTTCATGGGGAGTCGGTTCAGGATCTCCCACTCCTGGCCAGGAGCTTTCACCTCCTGTGGATTTCACTCTGTCACAAAGGTCACCAGCTTCATCCTGGGGGCCTGAAATAGGAGCAGTGCCAGGAGTTGGGCTGCAGAAGGGAAATGAACAATGTGTCCTATCATCCAAACCCATGGCTCTGCCTGGTTCCACCAAACCTCTCCCTCCCCACAAACTCCCTTAAATCCCGCTCCTCCAAGCCCATCCTCCCTCCAAAGCCTCCTCCATCCCTCATCCCTAAACCTCCCTTCCTCCACCAACCCTCCCAAAGCCTTTCCTTCCCCAAACCATCCCTCCCCCAAATTCCTCTTCCTCCCCCAAATCCCCCTTCCTCCCCCAACAACCCATCCCCCCAAACTCTCCTTTGTCCCCCAAAGCCTTTCCTTCCCCAAACCATCCCTCCCCCAAACTCCTCTTCCTCCCCCAACCACCCCTCCTACAAACCCCGCCCCCCCCCCCCTCCCCCCCCCCCCCCCCCCCGCCCGCCCCGGCCCCTCCCAGCTCCCCCGCCCCCCTCCGCCCGGCGGGTGGCTGTAAGCGCATGCGCCACGCGGGGAAGATGGCGGCCTCCATGCTGGGCTGGGCGCTGCGGGCTGCTCGGCAGGTCAGGCCCGTCGGGCGGCAGCGCCCGGCTCGGGGACTCCCCGGGGCTCGCGCTGGGGCTGGTAACTTCCCTGGGCCGGGCCCCCGGTCACTGTCCCGCCACCGACTGGCCGCTGAGCCTGGGCCGCCGGCGCCCCCGAGCCCAGCCTCTGTGCCCGCCCCTGGCCCCGATCCGTGCTCCTGGGTGCCCCCTGCCCATCCCCCATTGCCCCCCTCAGTCCCTCCCCAGGCAGCCTTTGTACCCTTGCCTGGTGCCCTCTCTCTGCGGCGCTGCCTAGCGGCCCATGCCCCTGCCCTGGGTCAGTCTATGTCTAATGTCCAGCTATCAGTGTAGCGCGCCGGGAGTCCCGCTGGGTTCGCCCTTAGGTGAATTGCGGATTCCTGTATTCAGGTTGGTTAATTTAGGCGGGAAGGATTGGTGGCTTGTCTGGAGAAGCATTTTACCGAGTGTGCCACTTGGCTTTAGAGAGCGGCAGTGTTGTCTAGGACAGTGGCTCTCGACCTTTCCAGACTACTGCAGGTGAAGTACCAGCAGCAGGAGAAGAGATTCAGCTGCAGAAAAAATCCTGTTTTCATGGATAGATCCCTAGTGATATTAAAAAAAAAAAAAAAAAAAAACAAACCAGGAAAAAAAAAAAAAAAAAAAAAAAAAAAAAAAAAAAACCACAAGGGAAGAGAGTTTAGCAGCTAGAACTAGAAAAGGCCCTTTAGGATATTTGATATGTGTGTCTCACTCACATGATATATCCTCTATTGAGACTTTATAGGCCATTCAACTGATATCACACTTGATCCCAGCACCAAAAAAAAAAAAAACCCTGAAAAAAACCAACTAGATGTTGTTCTGCGGGTTCTAGGAAGTGCTAACAGCCCTTTTATTTATGATGATGATTTGTATTCCAGTAATGTCTACAGGCCTTAACCAAGATCAAAGTCCCCTTGGGCTATGTGCTAGTAGGGCATTTTATTAAGACTAGGGACTGTGCAGGGATGTATAATCCTTTTAAATCTTGACAGTCTTAAAAGACTCCATTGTATGCTGTGTAAGAAACACACCTGTGCAGGGATGTATGATCCTGCAGGCCTTGTCTATGCTACAGAATTGTGTGTCTGAACATAGCTGTCAACAACCATGTTAACACTTGAAACTACATACAGTTTGCCCTGGTCTACGCTGACTGTTAAACATGACAGATTGCAGTTGTCAACAATTGTGTCCTTAGACATGATAGAATTTCATGACCTAGGCCAGGCCAACAAGAGAGCTAGCTGGTGTGATTAATCCTGTAGCTAAGCAAAATTCTCTGGATGGGTGAAGAGGGTGACTGTGCCAGTATTGTCAGGCCTGAAGACCAGAGGAGTCAGAGAAGGCAGTGATTGAATCCAAATGAGGTAGAGGCTAGAAAGAGTAAATTGGAATAAGCAATATTTGGAATTGGGTGAGTGATAAAATACTGGAAGCTGCAGATTTAACCTTTATATTTTCCCCTTTTTCAGATATTCCCCTTGCCCTGTAGAGGGCAAGTGCGGGGTTACTACGTGGACTGGAGGATGCTGCGTGATGTAAAGAGACGGAAGATGGCTTATGAATATGCAGATGAGAGGTTGCGGATCAACGCTCTCCGAAAAAACAACATCCTGCCTAAAGAGCTGCAGGTAAAGTAAAGTCCATCTGTACTTTCCTGCAGGACCATAACTCTTTAGGGAGAAGGTATGTGCACCCACATTGCTGCAGCAGCAGCAGCAGCATTCTCGGAGCATCACAAGCTACTTTGTATGAATCTAACAATCTCAGGCTTCAGATTCTGGGGGGGTCAGTCTAGAATACCTGCATCCATTTTGTTCACAAGCTCACTTCACATCATGTAGCTATCTACTTAGTATTGATACTCAGCTCCAGAGCCTTGTCCCTTTTGGGTCATTCTCAACAGGAATAAAATCTCTTGGGTGGAACTCCTTTGCCACTGCTAAAATCAGAAGTCAGAGGGTATTAGAACAGGAAGTGGTTATGTCCTGCAGGGGTACAGTGAACAGCTTTATTGTTCCTATGGATGTTCCTGCAGTCTTGTTTTTCCTTCTGTAACTGTCACTAATGGATGAGTTTGAGGGCAATTTCCCTTTTAGGTATGGGAGGTTCACTATCTAGTTCAGTGGTGCAGATACTTTTCCAGTCACGCCCCCACTTACCATTAATGGAATCTGTCCCTGCCTCCCTCCTCCATTACTGCACAGCCAAGGCTTCCCCAGCTGTAGGCTGCTTATACCTTGCAGACATGCTGCACTGCTAGGGCAGGGCCAATACCTGCCCCCTCGGGTTTTCAACCTGGGGGTGGAGCCAGCACTCTGTGCAGAGGATGCCGGGAGCAGAAATTGGCACGGCACAGCACACTGACCCACAGGCTAGGTGGCCCACTGAGGGTGACTTGGGGGTGGAGGTGCTCCCTCCCTGCCCCCAAGGGGGCTGGCACAAGCTGTCTGGCATTGTCACTCAGTCCTGCACATTCCTCCATGCCCCCCCTGGGGGGGGGGGGTGCCCCACAGTTTTGCTCACCAGAGGTCTAGTTCCTAAAGAAACCCTGTACATCCAGGCTGATTTCTGCTCCCACACTACTTTAAAATCTTGGGGCATGATCCTGCAAAGACTTACCCATATGCTTAATCTCAAATATGTAAGTAGTCCTATTGATTTCAACACTATTGTGCACTATTAAAATTAGACTTTTACAAGTTTTTCCAGGATCAGGACCTTTAGATATAATTTCTGGATTTTTATTGTCTGGTTACCACTATCTCAACCAACCCATCTGAAAACCCTAATACAGCCAGCAGGTGTCACCAGGGCTATAGAAATTGCTAGGGGGGGATGGAAGGAGAAAGGCAAGTGCTGCTGATCTGACTCTTAAGTTAAAACATTCTGCTGGAAGTAGCTTTTTCCCCTAGCTGAGCCATCAGTTTCCTTATTTCCCAGTGCCAGTATTTACAACTGGAGATGCTAACTCAAACGAATGAGGGACTGAGAGAACAAGAAGCAAGACTTCCCCTCAGAACTCTGTCTTCAGCAGTTGTTTGTCTGGAAGCTTTACTTATATTCTAAAATAAAGCTAGCAATTTTCTTTATAGACTTACCAGGGAATAATGCACCCGAGCTGCTGCTGTGAGGGGTGATCATGGGAATAAGTTAGGATTCTGCTCTGACTGGTTTGTTAAAGGGGTGCAGAAAGGGTTGATTTGTAGTAGAGAACCTTCTGACCTCTCTGGATGAGTGAGTGCTCTAGTATTTTCTGGGTGGTTGCTCACAACTAGCATATAAACTCATTTCCTCATAGAAATTATTCAGACCAAAGGAACAATTGATACCTCATGGGGAACAGTCTCATTGTGTCCTGTTTTCAGTCTCTCTCCATTTTCTGTGGCGTTTCCTTCACAGGGATAGCTTTATTTACCCTTTTGAGTGAGATATAGCATGAATGGTACTAACTGCTATGAGCTTGGCCTTAACACGCCATATTCACCTACCAACATTAAGGTAGCATCAGCCTGCGGTGGACATTTTGTATAAAAACAAGGATTGCTGTTGGTTTATTTGCTTATGCTATTCCCCAGCTGGTGGTGGTGGTGATCTTTCAGAGTCACAGCTAGCTCCTGTAGTAGTGAATGTGACTTCAGATGGGGAAATGAACTGTTCAGTATAAAATCACCTTGTCATTCTAGTGCCCCTACTAGTCTTCAGAAGTAGGGAAGAAGAGCATGGAAAACAAAATCTATGCTGTTGCTTTCCACAGCGTGATACTTGGGCTCTAAAGAAACACTTAAGCAACAGACTCCAGATACGTGCCTTTCAGAAACTGTTCCTCTTTGAGTAGCATCAGAAAGGCATCAGTTAATTCTGAGCAACTCCACTGTACAAATCAGACTTGTCTATCTGTTGTAGCTGTGATATGGAAAATATAACAACTTCTTACAGCCTCCAAAAGCTGGTGCTACAAACTCCCTATTGAAAAATGGCAGTTTACATTTAAGTTGCTAATTTAAAGGACACCATTTTCTAAAATAGTGCAAAAAAAAAAAAAATTATCTATGACAAATTGTGGCTTGAAATGTATTTCCTTAAAGACTTGTTTCCCTCCCTACCTACCTTCACTCCCCAATGTGGTTGCACTAGCTTGCTCTTCTAGGGTTGTTTGAAAGTATTAGGCTTTGTACATAAAGCCATGAAGCATCTGGTTGGAAGATAAAACATACAGTTACACTGACTTCACAAAGGTAAGAAACAAGTAGGTCATCTGTGCAGTTTCTTGACCTTTTGAGATCACATGACCTTTTTAGCAGAAGGAAGTTTTGCAGGGGTACTGCAAGCCTTAGGGAAACAGTAATTGAATGCAACACCATTTACCTGGTCCAACATTAGATCCTGCCACTGCCTCAGTTTCCCTGTTTTGGGTTTCCCAATGTGACTATACCCAGATTCTTCTGAATCAAACACATCTTCTTGGAGTTTGGGATATAAAAACATTACAGTTCAATTGTCAACTTACTTCAAAACAAGCCTCTCCCTGACTACCAGTTTCCCAGCCCCTTGCTGGGCTCAACAGTTCTTTGTCAAAACCCAACTCCTGCTGCTTTTTTCAAGCCTCTTCTTCTTACAGCTTCCTGCCTCTCCAGGCAGGCTGTTCTAGCCAGGTCCTTCCTTCTGGCTGGAGTTGAGACATCTTCCCCAGTCTCTTCTGACACTAGGTGTCCCCCCCCCCCCCCAAGAATTATCCTGCTCACAGTAGGTCTCTCTCCCCCAGCTGAGCAGACTCCTTTATCTGCCTGGAAGCCTCTCAGCTGGGGAGGTAGCTAACATGAAACAGGTGGGGCTGAGCCCAACTCCCTTAAAGGGCCATCTCACCCTCTAACAGAGACACTATTGACAAGTTGTAATTGTCCAACTGGACTGTTCAGTGACTTGTGTGAAATGCATGAGGACACTTTTCAGTTCCTAATGGAGCAGGGTCCTCATCCAGCAAGTAGAACCATTAAATCCCATGGGAAGTCTGAAGAGAGAGAACCTAGAAGAGCCTGGAGAGCAAACTGCCCTCTCATTAGTGGAGAGGTGATGGCTCCAGGGTAGGAAGGAGGCATATGTTGGTACCTCTGCTGTGGGTAAGGGAGCCTTCAGGCCTATCCATCACTACCTCCTTCACTAAACTGCCTTAGAAAACCTAACCCTGGGCAAAATACAGCAGAGCAACTTCAGTGTGTGTGTGTTTGTGTGTGTAATTGCCCTTCCTTTGGCTCCAGGAAATAGCTGATAAAGAGATTGCTGCCCTGCCACGTGACAGCTGCCCTGTGAGGATCCGGAATAGATGTGTCCTTACATCCCGTCCACGAGGCGTGAAGCGGCGCTGGAGGCTTAGTCGAATTGTTTTCCGCCACCTGGCTGACCACAGTCAGATGTCTGGGATACAGAGAGCTATGTGGTAAATCACCACCAGGACTTGTTTTCTCAGTCAAAAAGAGGCAGACTGGGCCCAGTTCATGCACTCCTGTAACTGAAAAAGCAAGACTGTCCTTTTGTTTAAAGTCCAGCATAAACGTACGAGAAACAAATAGGGGGAGGGGATAGGGAGGTATGCAAACAGCAGTCATTGCAGTTCTGTCACTGGGATACCACTGTGAGGGGACTATTGCAAATCTGATGGCAAAGAGATATGGGTAGGGGCGAGTAGGAATGCACCAAGCCAGGCTGTGCTAGAGGCAGTTTTATTTTGCCATGAAGAGTTGCTACCCTGTTATAAAACCAAGCTGGGATTTGTAATTAAAAGGAACTTCTAAATTAAAAACACATTACAGTACAAGACTTGTTCAGTGATTCCTGTTCACTCTTTACATTCAGTGACCTCTTTTGCACAGTTATCTGGTCAAAAGTATCACTAAAAACAAGGAATCACACAATGTAGCAGGGAAGTATGCTGCAGTGAATATGAAGACAAGCTCCAACTACTGCGGCCAAATAGCTGAAAGTATGCCCACCCTCAGTTTAGGTATTTAGACACTATACCTGTTCAGTTTATCTATATTTTATGGGCAGTTCAGGCATGGCAGTGGACAAACATCCCATCCAGCTGAAGGGTACTGAGGTTCCTCTCCTTCGTGCACAGGGAGCCTGGTGCAGTAGTTCAAGAGTAGGCCAGGGTAGATGACCTGGATCCTAGACCTTGCTCTCCTACCGACCCCCTGAATCATGTCACTGAACTAACATCTCCGGGCATTAGTTTTTCCTTCATCTGCAAAATAGGAACAAGAGCATCATGTCCCCTGGGAGTTAGGTGAGCTAACACCAAATGCTGCCTCTGCTTTGGGGCACAGGGGTGGAAGAGCAGAGAGCTGCCTCCTGCAATCAGAGCTATAATGCTGCTATGTGTACTCAACCTCCCTCTCCTGCTGCAGTAGCCTGTGGGAAAGGAATGTGGCACTGGGAGCGCTGCACTAGGGAGCTAGTCACAGACTGTGGCTTCCCTCCCTTCACACTGCAAAGGAATACCCTGCTGTAGGCAGTGTGTGCAGAGGCCGTCCTCACTGCTATGGTGAAGCAGCACAGGTATTGAATTTGGCAATAGCCTGTTACCAGATTTGCCCATTACTTTGGGGTATGCTCATTTATTAGGGTTACTCTTCAGGGTTGGGAAGGGGTTTGTACTTCTATCAATGTAATGCTTGTGTCACTTGTGTTCTTATATGGAGCTCTACTTCTCCCTTCTACAAATTCTCTCCCAATGGAGCTATCCTGCAGGACCTAGGTTCCCCAGGGCTGGGTTCTTCCAACCCCAGAATCAGACGAACACACACACACATTAACAGAGCGTGTCTGAGAGGACCAGGTTAATCAGCACTCCCAAGCTGACCCCTTATATGTCCCTGGACTCAGTAGGCTGGGTCGAGCAACATTTCCAACCTGTCACCCTCATAGGCCCTTGGACTCAGCGGGCTGGGTCGAATAGCACCTCCAAGCTGTCACCCGCATATGCCATGGGCACTGCACGGGAATGGAGTGTGCCTGAGCAGGCTGGGTCGAGCAGCACGTTCAATCTGCCACCCTTATATGCCCCTGGACTCAGCAAACTTGGTTGAGCAGCATTTCCAAGCTGCCACCCTCGTATGTCCCAGGTTCAGCATGTCCCTAGCCCCACTTCCATGTTACAGTTGTTCTGGTAGTAACCCACTTGATGAGCAGACCCCACAGGATTTTTGGGCGCTGCAGGGCTCTTTAGCTTAGGTATGAGTAGCGTTGCTGCAGGGCAAATGAGGAAGCCAACAGCTTAACCATGAAAGTTATTTATTGCCAGGTAATAACCATAGGGGAGCCAAACAAATAAAACAGTTATATTAAATCTAACTTAAATTTGATTATAAACATCAGGTATAGAAAACTGTAACTGATCACCCAAGTCAGGGTCAGAAGGATATACCGAGAGAGCTGGGTTCTCACCACTCTGTGAATTTTGAATCAATTGGGGGTTCCAGGTGGTGGTGGTAGCTGCGTGTCCTGCTGGAGACAGGCAGAGCCCCCAGCACACACAGTCAAGAGAAGATGAAGTCCCAATGGAACTGATGCTGATTTTGGATCCAGGCATCAGAACACTTACTTGAGCATGGGTAGGGGTTTTGTAGGGAAACAACACACTAGATTTGTTTATGGTGAACTGATGGCTCAAGGGAATATACCAAAGTTGTTTTGTTCAGGCTAGATAATAGGAACTGAACATTCCTGGCTATGGGCGGTGTTCCTTGGAGGGAGCGCTCAATGCAGTTAGGGAGCGTTACTATTTTGGATCCCAATAAAGGATTTATTACTAGAATTGGTCTGATAACTACTGAGCTGGGTGTGCAGGTGTGGGTTCATTAATATCTAGAGCAGCAATCCCCCATCATGCAGTGCTTCCCTGCTTTTCTGGTCCCAGAGTTCCATGCAGTTCTTGCCTTGGAATCTCTGTTCTCCATTCTGTATGCTAACAGAGATGCCTCCCTATCCCATCTTTGATGCAAATGAGGCTAGGGGAGTTTCCTTAATCCTGGCACCCTTGTCCCAGGGTTTAGGTGCATCTCCTACTGCCTTTTCATTGCTTTTTGTAAGTCTTTCTTCTGATCGGCTTTGGTTCAAGCAAAGGCTGGGGGGTCTTCCGTGAGTCAGACAGGTTGGGTACTGCACGCTGGTTCCCCAAGAACATAGAGCTGACAGGTAACACCCCCACATTCAAGGAGATGTGCACAGGATGCCTGCCCCCTTCCTATTCTGTGATGCCTTCCCCATCCCTCACATTGGTGGGAGGAGTGTGTGTTCGATCCTACCTTTTACCCATATTCTGCCAGTTGCCAGGCCTGCAGAGGCTCCTTTTCTATAGCAGCAATGGTTGAGCAGCTTCCTGCTGCTAATACGGGAAGCTACAATGAATTCCACATTAACCAACATGGGGGCTAAGGCTTAGTTCTGTTGACGTGTAGGCTCCTAACCATTTCAAAGTAGGGTGGGAGGAAGTCAACAGTTGTACTGTATGCTAGTAGACAGCACCACCTTTTTTAAAGAAAGGGAGTCATGCTTATAGCAACTTATTAATTCATTAGTTTGGTACAGAACCTTCCTATCAATGATCAAGAACTTTACAAAGGGTAGAGAGTAGTTACGCTTCTGCCTTGTGCTAGTCCAAACACTGTTCTTGCATATTTCCTTTCTATGGCTACTAACTGCACTGCTGTTACTCAGCCGTGGCTCCTGCATTTTGGGGAGGTGGTTGGAAAAATTGGTGGATTGCCTGCTGCAGGCAGATGCTGGGTAAGCCTGTCACATTCAGCTTCTCCTGGGTGCACTTAAGCAAGTCTCTTGACTAGCACCAGGTATCTGCTCAGCATGCTTTCTACAGGATTCTTGCCATTGCCCTTTTGTAAAGAACGGCAGGTAAGAGCTACTTTTCAGCTCAGTGAGCTAGTAACTAGAGTTGAAGATGCAGATTTCACTCCTATAATTAAGCTGTCTTCAGCAATTTAGACGTCTGTCCTTTTGAGGTTTGTTTGACAGTTTCTCCTGCTTCCTGCATATAGAAAGTCGCTTGAGCTGGGTTAATACATTAAGGCTAGGAACCAAATAGCCAAAGGCAGCTAAGTGACATGTTGACTAACACACAATAGCTTAGGATTTTTCTTCTTTTTACAATGTTTGCATAATTATCAGTTTCACAGATGTTTCAGATGAGCAGAACAATAAAAAGCTTTTAGAGGGAAGAGACATACTTCCTACTCATCAGGGAAGAGGAGGAAACCACTTGACGGAAAGAAATGTTTATAAGTGTATTTTATTTAAATATTTTCTCCAACCTGAAACGGAAAACAGGTAAGTGTCTTTGCTTGGAAGAAGATTGTGTAAACAATGCACTTGTAGAACTGATCTCTGCAGCACAGCAAAAGTCCCATATGGAAGGTCCATGTCAAGGCAGCCTTTGGAGTAGTTTCAAATATCTAACGGCATATCCCCTTTGCCTTGTTTCTCTCGGCTTTCAACCCAGGCCTTGTTAATGGTTCTTTTCATTTCATCATCTCCCTCTGCATACATCTTTTTCAGAAGGTTCATCAGCCCCTCACCAGGGTCTGAGGTGTCATAGGAGGCTTTCCTGTAAGACAGGTGGATATGCATGAAACAAGCTTATTACTGTATTATCATAATGCCTAGGAGCCTCAGTCATTTGTAACAATTCTCTGCCAAACTTTAAATGCTTTAACGATTCTTATGCAAAAAATTGGTATTATGTAGAATTTTGCCTTGGGTTTTGTGAAAGGGTGTTACTAAGTTCATGGAGATGGTAACTAAATATAGCACTGGATCCAGGAAGTAACAAAAATCAGTCTCTGCTGTTACCATGAAATCAGTGCAAGAGCTTACTTCTTAATCAGCCTCCTACCAAGGTGACAATCCTAAAGTATCACCCGCCTATACTAGATCACATCTGTTAAACCACCGATGGACTGGCCCCTTAAGACATGTTTCACTGAGTTTTTCACTGCTAAAGAAGCCAAAGGATAAAATGGCACCTATTTTGATTTATTTGGTACCCAATGTTACCACCTGCATATCACCACAAATATAAACCATAAGCACATACATTGCCCTTACTGGCTAGCATAGGGAAACCTGCCCCATAGCTTCTCCCCTCATCTTGCCTTTGAAACTCCTTGGCTACAGTACTAATCAGCTGAAGGGCTAACTAAAAAGCAAAGGGCTGAACCAAGCTATGTTAGACCAGCAGGGGAAGCAGGTTCCCCAGTTACAGGACTCTATGCTGAGAGCCAGTCTCCAAAAGTGGACCCCTAGAGCAGGAGTTCTCAACCTTTTTTCTTTCTGAGGCCCCCTACAACATGCTATAAAAACTCCAGTGCTCAGCGAGGGAGGGGGAGGCTCTGGACGAGGGGGGAAGCTCGGGCATAGGTGTACAGTAACTCCTCACTTAAAGTCATCCCAGTCAACGTTGTTTCATTGTTATGTTGCTGATCAATTAGGGAACATGCTCGTTTAAAGTTGTGCAATGCTCTCTTATAACGTTTCGCACCCGCCTGCTTTGTCCACTGCTTGCAGAAAGAGCAGCCTGTTGCAGCTAGCTGGTGGGGGCTTGGAACCAGGGCGGACCGGCAGCCCCCCTATCAGCTACCTGCTCCCCTAAGTTCCCTGTGCCGCAGCTGCTCAGCAGGCTATCAATTGCTGGCAGTTCAGCTGTCCCTCCCCCCACTGCCATGTGCTGCTCCTGCCCTCTGCCTTGGAGCTGCCCCCGGAGCCTCCTGCTTGCTGTGCGGGGTGGGGGGGGGGGAGAAAGAGCG